AAGCCAGAGTGCACGGGGACAACCCATGCAAACTCTACACAGAAATGCTCCAGCCAGATGGTAAAGTCCAACTCAGGACCTTGCTGTGAGGCAACAGTGCTAATTACGCCGTCACCACACCTCTACATGCCTCAGTTATTGAAATGAAATGATCAGGGAGTGTAGGGAGGGGCGGGTATGTGCCTCAATCCCACCTCTTTTAATGTTACTCTTTGTGGCTGGAAATCACAAATCCATTATCTAGCAAGGTTTCTGCTTCATAATTCTAAATGTGGTTTTATGAACTAAAGTACAATCAGATAAATAGTAAAAGATTTAGCTTAATTAAAAACATATTCCAGTAGCACAATGCTCATTGGTACATTAAAGACATTTAAACAGCCAGAGCATAATCTGCAAGCTGAGGCAGCGCAACGAAAATAGAAAAGCGTGAGAAGGTTTTGAAAGTCTGCATATTATGAGAAATACAACATTACTGAAAGTAGAGATCACCTTTACTACCAATGTGTCCTCTATCATCTTTTTAATGTGTGAAAATACAAGTAGTCATTTCATTACATGTGGTACCACTCCCTATCACTGCAGTTGTTGAGAACAAGTTGGTTCTTTCGCCAATAGCTCAGCGAGGATTCAATTTAACACATACTGCCACCTACTGACAGAAAGCACTACTGCAGCAAAGGTAGCATGGTAATATTTCCATGCCAGGTTGTAGGAGGACACCTAGTGGCAAATTACACATCAGGACCTTGTTTAAAACTGTTGAAAAATTGTACACAAAGGGAAAGGCTCAGAAAGCACAGAACAAATGTGAAAAATGTGTTTATTTGGGGATAAACAAGGTATTTCTGCTTCAGTGTTGGAAATGTTGCATGACTGAAAATACAAGTCACCTAACTGGGTACGTGCACCGATTTATGTGAATTATTAACCAAAGATTTCCAGGTTAAAGAGTAATGTGCTTTCAGATGTGGGTGTATCGCAGGTATTTCTTTCCAGAAGGCACTTCTTCAGTTGTCACACCATTAGGAAACAGAGACGCAGCTTCAGCATCTGAGAGCGAGGGAATGACCATGACTTTGTCACCGGGCTGAAAACCATAAAAGGGTATTTTAGACACAGGGTAGACGCATTTACTATTTCATCATACGACATTCCCCCAATAAACCACTTTTTAGGAATAAACCTAAAATGTTCAATGAAATTTAGGAGGCAGTTAGCCTACCTTAAAAATGGTTGGTGCGTCAGACCAAGAAAAGTTTAACACAAATTTAAAATTGACCCCCCAAAACAACAAGATGTAACATGCTATTGGTGGATTTTGAGTCAGCTAGCTTGGAAAGAACCATTTTGCATTCAGCCTTAGTGCTAGGCCAATTGTCTACTCACTGCAGGCCCATATTTAATAGAACTTAAAAGCACTTTATGAGTCTTTATTAGCAAAAAGTGAATATTTCCCAACTATTAAAATAATTTCTATAAAACACTAATGTTTTATAATATGACAGACTGCTATAGTCTTGGTTGGAAAAAAATTTCCATGGAAAAAAATAATAATAAAATGAACAGGCTGCGTCCCAGGACAATATTTACCAGATACTGAATGTGAGTTTTTACATTTGTAATAATAACATTATTTGCCATTTGCAGCCTAGTTCAATTATGCACACTCGGCATGGATAACTTATTAAGAGCTGCTGCTCAGTAGCTGCACAGATGGTGTTACATCAGTTCTTGTTCTCTGTTGATGACCTCGCTTGCTGACTGATGCCTTCACTACGTACCTTCCAGTCAACCGGTGTGGCAACCTTCTTCTGTGCAGTCAGCTGCAGAGAGTCAATAACTCTGAGCAGCTCATCAAAGTTTCTTCCTGTAGTTGCAGGGTATAGGATGGACAACTTCAGCTTCTTGTCAGGGCCGATCACAAACACCTAAAGTGGAACGAGATAACACTCCTTAACCACAACACTACTCTGTGTTTTAGATTTAAAATTTTTCAATATGTCCAAGCAAGCAAGCAAGAAAGAAAGAAAGAAAGCAAGCAAGCAAGCAAGAAAGAAAACATTTTTAAAAACTGTGAGCAGTAGTTCTCTGTGTGAAAAGTGCCTTGTTGATGCCACAGGTCATCAACAATGCCACACCGGTCAGGTTAGAACAGGACACTGAGGCTACAGTTCACACACCAAAACAGGACAACAAAAAGGAAAGACAATACTGGATCTGACAAATCTAAATTTCGGCAGTGAGATTTGGATAGTATGGTCAACTTTGACATTTGTGTCATGTCACAAAGCTCAAATAATCTCAAACTGGTTTCTTGAACATGAAAATGAGTTCACTATCCACCAATGACTCATTGCTATCCACCAATGGCCCTCTCAGTCACCAGATCTCAAACCAATGAAGCACCTTTGGGATGTGGTGGAATGGGAGCATCGCGTCATAAATGTGCAGCTGACAAATCTACAGCAACTGTGTAATGCGATCGTGTCAACACGGACCAAAAACCTCTGAGGAATGTTTCCAGCACCTTATTGAATCTGATCATTGCCCGGGACTAGCAAGGTGTGGCTAACAGAGTGGCCAGCAAGTGTACATTTCTGTTTAACTGTAAAAATCAATACTTTTTTCAAAGAATAAACAACAAGGAACGGGGGGAAATAAAACAGCAAGTATAAAACCAAAACATTTCACAAGCATGCAAGTCAGTGCAGATCTTATTGCAAAATAAAAATATGCATCCAATTGCTGTCTGTTCTTTCACAATTATAGTGCTATTTTTTGTTTTACTTTTATTTATTGAAGAAAATAAAAAGTGAATGGGTTTCTCACACAGCGAGCAGTGAGGGGCATGCCATCTTTGTCTTTCTCATCTGGGTCCAGCATACCCATCAGGACTGACAGCTCCCTCTTGTCATCAGCGATGATAGGGAAAGGCAGGTCAGTATCAGCGTTTTTGCTAACAGCCATCACATCCTGTTCAGAGACAAGAGATACAGTCAGCTTTGAAATGGTTGTTAGTTCACATTTCATCCTCTGTTAATAACTCTGTCCCTCCTGGCAGCCATCTCTCCACTATTGCAGCACAGGTTTGATGAGTGATCACAGATCCTCGGCATGTAATCTTTAACTACTGGATAAGGAACAGCAGCATGTTTTATAAAGGCCATAAGTATATTCGCCTGCTCTATGCCTGTAGTACTATCATTGTTAATTTGAAGAATAAACCATTTGGGAGGAGGAGAAGGAGGAGGAGAAGAAGGAGAAGAAGAAGAAGATCTTTTTTTGGAGTGAGGAAGAGAGTCTGGACCAATCACTGGTCTTTCTGAGGAGGCATTACTGTAACATGACAACCCAGTTAAAAAGTGAATGTCTTTTGTCGAGAAAGGGGACACCAAATACATAATCCATAATAGTTTAACTTTCTTTGACAAACAAAATACATTAAAAATAGTTTACATTGGTAAAAAAGTTTAAAGGATATGTAGAATTATACATTTAAGTCAAAATTAAATCTGTATTTTTATAAAGTAAAAGGTAAAACCACGGCTGGTGACCAAAGTGCTCTACTGTATTATACTCTATTATAAATACTTAATACTGCTGATTATTTTGAGTTGAAGATTTCACAAATTTAAAGAAAAAGAAAAAGCAGCACAGCTCTGATCCACTCAGAGAAACATTTTGCAGACTACTATAAAAGTTTGGTGCTTTTTGCTTGACCAGGATCAGCTATGATTCCTTACACTCAAAGTAATGTACAAATAACAGCTGTAGTAAAGTCCACATTAAAAAAGTGTGATAATAATAATAATAATAATAATAATAATAATAATAATAATAATAATAATAATATACACTACAACAGAAACAAGAAAAACAAGAAAGAGACAATAATTAAGTAAGTAATCATTATAATAAACATTATTTCTTCCTCAGTGTATTTTACACTTAATATCATTTTCATACTTTAGTTCCAGTTGAAGGTTGTAAATTTACTTTCATATTCGTTCTTTCTTACCATGCAAAACTATTTCATTACACTCCTTGCTGGTTTTGAAAATAACTACCATTTAGTGCTTCTGATGAGGTGCATGTTTCTATATACTATTTGCAGCACT